CACCAAATATTTTATTATGGTTTTAGGCTGCTTCATACAGTTTCGTCCTGCACATGCTCTACAAGTCACCTGTGCACATAGAGAACAAGCCAGAAATAATAATAATTAATAATAATAATAATAGAAAAAATCTACCATAGCAATCCCTTAAATAAGTAAATAAACATTATATATATATATATATATATATAAAAACCCCTTTAAAGTAAAGCAAAACCCAACCAAAAGAACAGCGTCTTTTCAACATGAAACACCTCCGCGGGATAAGGGCAGGCGCTCAGACATTTTCCAACTTGGCATTCGGTTTTTTTTGTTGATTATTAATTTTTTTAAAACGTTTTCTGGGCTTTCTTTAATTACTTGGTTTGTTTTGTATTTTTTTTTTTTTTTTTTTTTTTTTTTTTTTTTTTTTTTTTTTTTTTTTTTTTTTTTTTTTTTTTTTTTTTTTTTTTTTTTTTTTTTTTTTTTTTTTTTTTTTTTTTTTTTTTTTTTTTTTTTTTTTTTTTTTTTTTTTTTTTAGGCATAACTTCTGCAAATCCTTCGAAGTAAAGGCGACAACGATTTCAGTGACGTGTTTTTAATGCAGTCTGCGGCGGGACTGTGAGGGAGGCGCGGGCGGGCGGCGGGGGAGCGCCCCGCACCCCGGGTTTGGCACCCGCGGCCGGGCACTGCCAGCCCCGCTGCTCCGGCCGTTCGGGCAGGCACCGGTGAGCCGGGCCTCCCGCTGCCCCCGGATTGCCATGGCGGTGGTGTCAGATGTCACATTCACTGTCGCTGGATGTGATGGAGATGGCGGAGGTGGCCGCTTTGCTGGAGAGGCTGGCTGCGGGGCTGGAGGCGGCCCCCACCGCCTCCCCGCCGCTCTCCTCCTCCGCTTGCAGCGAGCGCACCGAGCCCTGCGTTAGGACCTGCTGCTGTAGCCTGCAAGGAACCGGCACACACAGCATCACCGCCCGCCCTCCGCACCCCCGGGACCCGCCGGCAGCCCCCGAGACCCCCCCGGGGCCTTCCCCGATCTGCACTCCCGCGCCGCTGCCCCTAGCCTCCAGCTCAAACCACTTTACACCAGCGATAGGAAAGAGGACAAACTGGGCGGACACCCCCCAGTTTCTCAGCTCAGCTCTGCCTGAGGAACTGGGTGCCCGCCTCAGGGTCAACCCCGCTCCTCGGCTGGCACACCCGGGGGAAGGCTGTCCCCCTCCTCCGCAGCCTGTCCCCAGACCGGGCCTCATCCCAGCGGTCGTAATTCCTTGCAGCATCTCCCGGGCGGCGGCTCCCCTCCAGCAGGCCTTACGTCTTCCCTCAGCCTACAAAAAGGGGCTGCAGGTGATGGCACACACGTCCCTCACTTGCGGCAGCCCGGCTGAGGGGGTGACAAGGGGAATTTCCCAGGAATCCTGGAGAGGAGATAACGGGGAGACTCTGCTCCCTTCCACACTTCCCGGGGAGTCTGCTTGTGTCACTAGTATTGGGATAACACTGCCCATTTAAAGCTGAGATTTTATGCTTTAATATATTTTAAAAGATTAAAAATAAGAGCAATATCCCGAATAATGTTCCTGGCTGGCCCAGTGGAGGAACATGAGCATGAGGGCATGGCCGGCTCTGCTCAGGATGGACATACCTCAAATAGGTATCTGTATGTCCGGGCAAAACTTTGAAGGGGGTTTCTCTCCGCTCAGCCCCTGAAGACACCAGCTCCTGCCGGGGTCACGGGGGCTCCGGGCGGCCCCCCTCCCGCTCCCTTCTCCCCGCTCCCTCCAGAGCGACCAAGGGGAAGCCCAGACGGGGACCCTCCCTATTTAAACCAGGTCATTTAAAAGCCCTAGGGTTTTCCCGCTGCTCCTGCTTATCTCGCTGCATTTCCCGGGGAGAAACCTCCCGGGCTCGTTTCGCCCGTGCTCTGCCGGCGGTCTCACACCGCCCACCCCTCGAAGGCTCGCTAAGGGGGGGGTTCCTGTGCCCCGAGGGGACGGGCAGCACCTTACCTGTTCTTAGCGGCTGCTGCCCTGTCCCTTTGCCTGCGGTTTTTGAACCAGTTGCCCACTTGCGTGGGAGTAAGTCCCGTGGCCTGAGCCAGTTCCCGCTTTTTGCTGGGGTTGGGGTAAGGGTCCTGCAGGTACCACTCCCGCAGCAAATGCCTCGTCCTCTCCTTGAAGCAATGTGTCTTCTGCTCGCCGTCCCAGATGGTGCGGGGCAGCGGGAACTTCTTCCTCACCCGGTACTTGTCCACCGGCCCCAGGGGTCGGCCCCGCAGCTTCTCCGCCTCCTGGTAGTGCGCTTCCAGCCAGAGGGCTTGCAGTTTGGCGTGGGACTCCTTGGTGAACTTGTGGTTCTCCAGGATGTGGTAGAGCTCCCGGTAGTTCCCCGTGTGGAAGGCCACGATGGCCCGGGCTCTCAGCACCGACTCGTTCTTGTTGAGCGCCTCGCAGGCCGCCGGAGCCACGGGCAGGGACCAGAGGAAGCGCCCCAGGCGCTCGATGTCCCCACTCTCCTCCAGGGTCTCGCATACCCCGGCCACCTGCTGCGGGCTGAAATTGAGGATGGGCAGCTGGAACATGGAGGCGGCGCCGGGCTCCGCTCCGCGCTCCGCGCACCCCCGGCGATGCCCGCACACCCCCGCGGCGGGGAAGGGGGCAGCGGCCCCGGGGCCGCCCCTCGCTCCGCTGCTGCCTCCGCCGGCGCCGGCGGAGCTGCCGCGGGAGGGACGGCGGAGGGCGGAGAGGCGATGGGCAGCGCTCGGCGGCTCCGGAGACTGGGGGCGGTGGGCAGGGGCGAGGCGGAGGAGGATGGAGCGGGAAGGGGGAGGGAGGACGCGGGGGGGGGGGGGGGGGGGGGGGGGGGGGGGGGGGGGGGG